TGGGATAGCTCTTCAGAGGTGACCAGCCTAGGAGCAGCGCAGGGGACATCGACCACAGCCGTGTGTCCAGTGTCGGGATGGGTGCGGGGCCCCAGGGCTCTGGAAAGGGCCTGGGGTCCCATGGAGTCTTCCAGAACATTCACGATAGAAGCCAGGGGCACTCAGAGGCTCAGCACCATTACTGCTGGCAGATGAGTAGTTTTGCTTACTGTCATCCACACACTTCCTGTTGCTTCAGTTTGGCTTGTGTTTCGGTGTTGTGTGAAGGTGCAGACAGCAGGCAGGAAGCCGTTTCTGGGGGAATCCTTTAGCTGGGACAGAGATGAAAACATAGGCTCTGGTTGTGACCAGTCACCACCCCCCAGGAAACAGGGGGCCCAGAGCTCACGTGCTCCGACCTGTGAGCCTTTGCCAAGGAAGGGTCCATCACGTGAGTTTCTTTCTGTGTTTGTTTTGTTTTGAGTTTTGCTGGTCCTGGGGCTTGAACTCTGAGTCTGGGTGTTGGCCTTGGGCTCGGTGTTCAAGGCTAGAGCTCTACCACGTAAGCCACAGCTCCATTTCTGGGTTTTTATGGTTAATTGGAGATCAGAATCTCACAGATTTTCCTGCCTGGTCTGATGATCCTCAGACACCAGCCTCCTGAGTGGCTAGGGTGGCGGGCGGGAGCCGCCGGCGCCGTGCTGATGTGGATTTCTTACCACTGGTATTTGTAATTGCAGCAAACTGGAAGAAACATAACAGATTTTTTGTGTGGTAACCTGTGATGCTTTGATTAAACCATTTGTGAGCAAATCGTTCAAAAGTGGGACCTTTTAAAAATATTATATGCTTTGTTTTGTGAAGCTAGGCCCCTTTTTATGTGCAGTGCTTCCCTACCCACCTCGGGTTGTAATAACATCTCTGGACAGTGGCACGTGACAGGAGATGTTTTAACGTCAATGCGTCCGTGGTACTGGTCACCTAGCCAGCACCCTCGGGGTTGCATTGAAGGTGGCTTCTGAAAAAATGGAAGAAAGGCTCACGCCTGTCATCCTAGCTACTCAGGAGGCTGGGATCTGAGGATCGCGGTTCGAAGCCAGTCCAGGTAGGAGCTGTGGCTCAAGTGGTGGAGCACTAGGCTTGAGCAAAAGAAGGTCAGGGACAGTGCCCAGGCTCAGAGCCAACCCCAGGACCTGCACAAAAATTAATAAATGGATGGATGGACAGATGACGGACAGACGGACTTGAGTTGAAGGTGTGCCAAGTGCTAACTAAGATCAGCGCTGAGCAGCTTTGTCAGCACGGGCTCCAGGCTCTGGGTGGGCCAGGCCTCCAGAGCCTGCTGTGCGAGCAGAGCCGTGTGGCGTCACAGCCAAGGAGCGGCGCCCTGCGCAGCGGGCGCAGACGCTCCGGCCGCGTCCGTGGCAGCACTGTTTGGCAGACTGCTGTTACTCCAGCTGTGTGGCACCTGCCAAACACGGTAAAGCGCGGGGGAGGAAATTGTTCACACAGAATGACTCTTGGGTAGGTCAGATGCGGGTTCAGACACAGAAGCTGTCGGAACCGTGGCCACACGCGGCTGCCGCTCCTCCCTCCGCCTCGCCTTCCCCTGGCTGGCTGCCTCTGCCTCAGTTTCTCTCTCTGCCCGTGAACGCCCCTGTCTCTGCCTCAGTCTCTCTCTCTGCCCGTGAACGCCACTGTCTCTGCCTCAGTCTCTCTCTGCCCGTGAACGCCCCTGTCTCTGCCTCAGTCTCTCTCTCTGCCCGTGAACGCCCCTGTCTCTGCCTCAGTCTCTCTCTCTGCCCGT